CTGTCCAGCAGCAGTATGGCTTCTGGAAAGTTCTAACTTCACATCTGTAAAATGGGCCACGAGCCAGCCCCATGCATGGCTGCCTCAGAATGTCCTGAGGGTCCAGTGAGCCTGTGGCTAGGATGGGAAATGATGAGCTGGAGCGATGGCACACATTGGTTTGCTGGGACTGATTGATATACGCTAGTGGACCAGTATATACGTTACAAATTGTGCCCTTCTCACCCTCGCAGGTGTGCCAGTTCAGACATTAATCTACATCTGTTTGGCTTCCTATCAGTTGACATGGTGGGGGAGACCTTTGGGGAGAGATGTGAATAAGGGTCTGCTCTCTCCCACCTCTGGGGCTTGAAAAAAGGTTGGAGGGGTTTAAGTCAAAGCATGGACCTGGGTAAAGGCCTGGCCAGGTTCCAATCCACCTCTCCCCCTGCCCAGGTTCTAGCAAACTGCTCTCCCCTTTGAGCCTGGCCACAAAGGGCAGACCAGGGACTCTCCAGACCCAAGAGGAAAGTGTCTCCTTTGCCCCCTGCCTGCTGACCCATATGGGAACGAGAGTGGCTGTGAGTGTGAAGAGAAGGAGCATTTACGGAGCCCTACTGTGTGCATTGTGAAGGATTTTTGCATCCAACATCTAATTTTTAATTATTTCCAACTGTCTGGGAAGACAGGTTTGTGCATCTGATTTTACACCTGAGGCAACTGTCCCATAGGAGTGAAGTCATGCACCGGGTATTGGGAATAAACCCAGGAAGACTGTGGGTCATGGTTGGGAGAGGCAGAAGCCAAGGGCTCCTGAATCCAAGGAGGTCCAGGCAGGACACTTCCCCATCCCTTGTCCTGGGCTTGTTAATGCATCTTGTACAAAAGAGGCAGCAGCCTTGCTCAACCACTCTCTCCCATTGGCACTTGGGTTTCATGAGACCCTTTGGAAGGCACAGAGAGTCACAGGGACCATGAGCAGGGGTGAGGCAGTTGGCTCAGGAGCTGAGAAGCCTGGCCTCTTTATGACCCTTCCTAGCAGCACCTGCTCCTCCCACTTCACGGACCCAGCTCTGGGGGAGAAGAAGGGAGCAGGCCAGGACTTTAGCCTCCCTTGAGCAGACACACGAGGGGGTGAACACTGAGCCACCGTGGCAGTCACTGGGGTTGTGAGGTGCAAATGGATCTAGGCTCATGCCTTTCAGATGGGGAAACTGAGGCCAAGAGGGGCAGGATTTGCAAAATCACTCAGTGATTCAGTAAAGACAGAGTCATATCTGTAACCTAGGAGTCTGACCTCACCCAGGCTCTGACCTCTAGCTCGTACCTCTCTGCCATCGTCTTCTCCATCCCCACAGCCCTGGTGGGGAAAGTCAGCCCTTTCATAAAACAAACAAAACAACAAAACTCAAAGATTTTCTTTTCTTTTCTTTTTCTTTCTTTCTTTCTTTCTTTCTTTTTTTTTTTTTTTTTTTCCTGAGACACAGTCTTGCTCTATTACCCAGGCTGAGGTGCAGTGGCTCCATCTTGGCTCACCACAACCTTCGCTTCCTGAACTCAAGCGACCCTCCCATCTCAGCCTCCCAAGTAACTGGGACTACAGGTGTGTGCCACCATGACTGGCTAATTTGTGTATTTTTTTGTAGAGACGGGGTCTTGCTATATTATCCAGGCTGATCTTGAACTCCTGAGCTCAAGGGATCTTCCTGCCTCCGCCTCCCAAAGTGCTGGGATTACAAGCGTGAGCCACTGTGCCCAGCCAAAACTCCAAAATTTTCTAAAAGACATTATCCATATAAATCAATCTACCCACTGAAGCTGCAATTTTATGATCATACAACTGGCCAGGAGTCTGGCAACCAAGCACATTTGACAATTGCTGTCACCACCATCTCCTCTCCCCAATTCCAGAGGGGTTTTGAATGATTCTTGGCAAAATGACTGCTTAGGAATCCAAACGGTAAATATTCACTCTCCCTTTCCCTCTTCTCTCCCTCTGTTCTGGTCTCATATCAAACCAGAAGTGCAGTGGAGATGTGTGTGTGTGGCTTAAGGAAAGTGTCAGATGAAATGTACTTTCTTTTATTATATAGGGAGATATTTTTAAATGTATATAAATAAACATTTTTAATTTGCTTAAATGTTCAGATTTTATCACTGTAGAGCATGTGTTTTGTCACACCAGGGAGTGACGACTGTGAAAAACAAGGTTCCAGGCTGCTAGTCCATCTGGAGTGGTTCAGAGGAAGTGATCCCAGAGCTGCCTGGCTGGGATGGGATTGCCCTCCAAAGTTGCCCTGGCCGAGGCCAGCTGTGCTCCCCAGCTCTGCATCCCCCTGGCAGATCTTCTCAAACACTCAGGGCCAGGCTGATTTCCTCAGAGCTCCACTGTCCTCCTGTTCTAACCCCTGTATCTCTATCACAGCCCATTACACATACACACACATACACGCACACACACACACTCTTGGCTGCTGGAACCCTCCTCTCTCAGAATACTCCATTCCCAACCCCGAGTCCCTCCCTAGAGTAGCGCTGCAACTGTTCTGCTCAGTCCACACCAATCTCTTGGCAATCAATGATGGGACTGGCTTTTCTACAAGACAGCTTCTCAGCACAGGGTTAGGAGTCTATGGACTCCCTGAAATTGTATGTAAACAGTGTTGACATGCACAATTCTGATTTGCTAGAGGACATAAGCAGTCTGTGGGCCTTGGAAGGCCAGCACAAAGTCACTGTAAGCAAAGCAGCACAGGCCATTCCTAACAGGAGAGCTGAGTACCTCTTATCCCAGGCCATCCCTGATAGGAGAGCTGGGCACCTCTTACCCCGGGGTGGCTTAAGATCTGGCTAGACTTGAAGGGTCTTTTTCCTGAGCCATTACAGCCCCCCAATCTCTGGTGGAACTCTGGGTGATGGGGAATCACTAGGCACAAGGCAGCAAGTTGCACCACTTGGAAGTTGTCTTAGATGAGTTTCCTTTTTCATGGGGCTAAACACCCATTGGTAGGTGATCACCAACCCAACCTGTGGGTCGCATCCAACCTCCTGATCGCCCATGTGGGCGACTGCTGCAGCTCACCCTTTGATGTGGTAATGCGCCGCTGTGACTCTATCAGAGGAGTGACCTCTGACCTCCTGCCAGGCAGAGGTCTTCCTAATGCGGAGACAGGCTTGTCCTCCTTCAGGTGGGTAGAACATCAGCCGGGCCTGCCAGCCTCTCACACTGGGATGCAGCAGCCCCGTGAGAGGTGGCTCAAAAACAAGCACTTCTTATGTGCTGGGCCCTGAGCGAAACACAATTCTAAGCTCAGTTAGACTATTTTATTTCCATTTGACACATGAGGAGGCCGAGGCTCCAAGAAGCTAAGTAACTTGCCTGAAGTCTCGCAGCTTGGAAGTAGTCACGCTGAAATCCAGGCCATCTGATGGCAAAACCTGCTGCTAAATACTGAGTCACAGAGAAGGTGTGGCCCTCCAGCCTGAACATCCCAGCACTGCAGAGTGTGTGGAGTTCAGTGGGATGCTGGGAGGTGTGAGTAGGGGCCTCCCAGGTAGCAAAGTGCAGGGGGGGGGGCGGGGGGGCGGGGGGGCAGGGTGGAGGAATGCCGGATGAAAGAAAATTCAAGGGGTTTCTTTGCTGTGGGGCTTGTCGGAGACTTTGATGTGCTAATGACCCACTGTGACTCTATCAGAGGAGTGGCTTCTGCCGGATTTCCCGAACTTACTTGACCAGAGTTATTTCTTTTTGGTAGACAACTTCCCCAATTTTACAGATGGTGAAATGCAGGCCCAAAGAGGGTAAGCAGTTACCCCAGGGTCGCAGAGCATATTTTTTTGAAGATCAGAAAACTCTATTCACTCCATGCCAGCCGCTTTTCACCAGCCCCTCTCCCTCTGCTCTTGGAACCCTGGTTCTTTCCCAAGCCTCAGGTGTCCACCATTACTAATGAAGGCCCACTGTCTCCCAGGCCACTGGTAGGAGGACAGAGAGAAGTGCCTGTTGCACTTCAGGGGCCTGTGCCGGGCCAGGATCCACCTTGTGCACTGTTATCATGGGAGCAAAGGGCGATGGCAGGCAGGCTGTACACAGTTTTTATGGCCTGGCCACCTCCCAGAACAGTAAACAGAGGGGTAAGCAGCTGGCACTGGAGCCCCCGGGGAGAGAAGGCCCCAGGTAAGAGACTCCCAAGAGTTCAAAAAAAAAGTATACTTTCAGTTCATATTGCTCAAGTTCCTTTTCTCCTTTATTCCCTTCTTGGCCTGATCCACACTCGCTAGTCCTTTTCAGTCTCAGTTCAAACATTACCTCCTCCAGGAAGCCTTCCAGGATAAGCTAGGTGTGTGCTCTGCTCTCACTGAATACTCTGGCTCCCTTGATGCTCAGAGCATAGCTCTGATTGGCCTTTATCCTGTTATATTAGTGTCATCTGTGTGCATGGCAGTCTTCCCCACTGGACTGGGGACTTCTGAAGAGCAATCCAGGATCCCTGAAGTCAGACCCTGAGGGGGGCTTTGTAGCTTCTCTCCTGCTCCAGCTGCCCAGACCACATATACCCTGAATGCATCCTCCCCCTCTAGATCTTGTTCCCCCACCCTGGAGATGCCCTTCTCCGTAACCTTCCCCCTCCACATCTTCCCAGGCCATGCCCTCACACCCCTCCTCCAGTCTAGGGGACAAGGACCATGTGCTTTCCAGGCCCAGCCATGCGTGGCACATGGGGGTGAGCAATGAATGTCATCTATTGAAAGAAAAACCTGAACTGAACATACCTGAAAAATTCAGAAGACTGATGTGTTAAGTCTGATGATTCTGCTTACAGAATGGACTCACATTTTTACATAGTCTCATAGACCTACTGGAATAGTGTTCTGTTTTGATCTTTCAAATGTATTTTAAAGGTGACCTTGTGGTGGGCCTAAACAAACGGGAAAGGAATACACAATTGCTGGGGAAGGTGAGGATGGTTTGTACTTCTCAAAAATGTTTCTTTAATGCTATGTATAATGATTTTTATACATTTTTGAAAAGAGAAGAAAAATTTATTCTTGAAGCTGCATCCAAGAGATTCCACTCTATATACAACACCTGTCCAGCTGTGAGCTCTGCTTGGTCTGGAAAAAGTCCTCTGGGGGCTCCCTGGGCCCTGATGGGCAGCCTGGTGGGGGTGTAGAAACCAGGTAGGGTAGACTCTGCCCCCTTCTTTCCTCCCAGGGCCTCCTTCTCAATCCAGAGGCCTCACTAAGAATGATCATGAAGGTTGTGATTCTGCAACCCAATGGAGCAGTCATCAGAGCCCAGTGCTATGGGTTTTGTGCTTAGCATCCAGCCTGGGGAGGGCTCAGCGCCCTTATGATGGGGGCAGGTAGAGGTGAGGCTGCAGGAAGAGGCAGGTGTGAGGTGACCACATTCCTCCCTCCTCAGGTCATGCTCTGCAAGCATTCGTCTTTTTTAGCTCCATCCCTTTTCTCCAGGATCAGTCTGGTCCCCACAGGAGCCTCCAGCTGCACCTCTGAACATATGGAGGAGGAGGTAGGGCCTGAAGCCTTGTCTAGGCCCCTCCCCCAACAATTTGGGGCTTGAGATGCCCATGGGCGGTTGAGATCATCCACCCTGGACTCTCTTATCCCTCAGAGGTCTAGAACACAGGAGCTGGAAGGTCTTTATCCAACAGGCTTACTGTACAGATGGGCCAAGGGGATGCAGAGGGTGGATAGGTGACTGTCCACCATGTCCCAGAACGTCAGAGCTGACTCAGCCCAGACCTCCTGGGCCCACAGGAACCACACTCCCAGCCCCCAAGTCCCCAGGTCTCCCGGCGCACAGGCTGGGCATAGGGCTATGGCAGAAACTCCTCTTTGACAGGCATTGGGGAGGAGGTGGCCAGGAGGCTAGTGTTGCTGGGGCACAGGCCCCCCAGGGACGGCCCGGCTGGGGTGGCAGTAATATCGTGGGCTGTTGGTGGCTGTGGGGGCTGTTGCTGCTGCTGTTTCTTCTTGTTCACTTTGCGCTCCTTTGCCCGCCGGTTTTGGAACCAGATCTTCACCTGTGGGGTTGGAAGACAGAGATAGAGTGGGCAGCGGGGAGAGAGTGAAGGAGAGAGCTCAAGAAGGAGAGATGAGGCCAGTGAGCCCCTATTTCTCCATGTGGCTTTGTAGCTTATCTCCTTTCCAGCCTCCCATACCACACGGACCCTGAATTCATTCTCCCCTTCTAGACCTTGCACCCCTACCCTGGAGATGCCCTTCTCTATAACCTTGCCCCTTTCCATCTTCCCAGGCCATGCTTCTTCAAGGAAGCCTTCCCTGTTTTCCCTGTGACTGCTCCCCTAATGTAAATAGCATGTGCACCTTCTACAGCACTAATCATAGCCTGCTGTAGCCTGTGGCTAATCAGATCCCCTTACCCCTGCCTTTGGGGGCAAGGATATTGGGTTTTGTTAAGGTAGGGTGCTGGTAGCACCTCAGTTTCTGCTGTGCTGTGTGACAATGACCTGGAGACTCAACCTCTCTGTTTTCCTTCTACTGAGCTCTGTCATCTGCCTGGCAACCTAGAGACCAGAGTCCTCGCACTGCTCCTATGGCTGAGATAGGACGACAGACACACCTGCCGTTCAGTGAGCCCCAGATTGGCAGCCAGCTCTGATTTCCGCCGGATTGTGATGTAACGGCTGTAATGAAACTCCTTCTCCAGCTCCAGGCGTTGGTGGTCAGTGTAGACCACGCGGTACTTGTCCTTGGTCCGAGTCTTACCTGAGAAGCAGAAGAAGCCGGGAAGGAAGGTGAGTTGGGAGGAGGAGGCTGCAAAAAAGGCCCAGGCAGGACCCCTAGGAGGAAGACAATCCAGGCTCCCTGAAGTAGGACCCTGAGGTGGGGAAAGACATACACCCCAGGCTGAGGGAAAACAGTCATTTCCCAGACTCAGACCCACAGACTCACAGTCTGGGAGGCAAGTGCTCCTCCCATGCCCATCAGGGAGGCAGTGAAGTGGGGAAAGCAACTAGCTCAGGGTTACACAGCAGGCTGCTAATGGAGCTGCAGCTTCAACCCAGGTCTCCTGACCCAAAGCCCTATTCTGAAGGCCAGCTCCAACAACTTTAAACCAGCAGCTTCCAGATGTGGCTGCACAGCAGCCATTCTCCAGGAGCTTGTGAAGAACACAGCTTTGCCGCATCCCTGACCAGTGAATCAGAAAGCCTGGGGGTGGAATCTGCATTTTAAACAAACTCTTCAGGTGGTTTTGACTCTGTGGTCAGATATCAGATGGGTTTGAATTCTGGAGACATGGAGGGGATGCTGAGCAGGCAAGAGTGATTAAGACTAATGAGATGGCAGCTGCTCCTTCCTCCTGTGCGAGAGAAGAGAGAAGGGAAGAGCCACTACAAGTAGAGGTGGAAGCAGAAAGAATCTGGAACTGTCCCAGGTGTGGACTCCCTAGTCCCTGCCCAATGCCTGGGGATGGCCTCAACATCAGTCAAGGAGGACTGGGGCTGCTGGTCGACAGTGGACCCCTAGGACCTGTCAGTTACCTCAAAGGCTCTGGCTCACGATACCGAGCCCTGAACTGGGCCTGCACGAGGGGCCGGAGGCTGGTCTGCCCAAGCCGTCCACACTGCCCTCTGTGTCCAGGCACCGGGCAGGAGAGATACAGCTCATCTCACAGATCCTCACTGAGTTCCTGCTGTGAGCCAAGCACTGGGCTACAACACTGAGCAAAATACAGCGCCTGTCCTCATGATGCTTAGGTTCTAGGGAGGGAAATGGATGAAAAGAAAAATAAGCATATAAAATATTTGATACACTAACTGATAAGTGTTTCAGGAGAAAAGGAGGCAGGGAAGGAGGATCGGGAATTTAGGGAGGAGACGGGTTATGATTTTAAATAGAATGTGCTGTTGAAGGCCTTCCTGAGAAGGGGAATTTCAGCAAAGCTCTAAAGGAGGTACAGGAAAGAGTCGTGCAGGGCCGGGCGTGGTGGTTTACACCTGTAATCCCAGCACTTTATGGGTGGCTGAGGCAGGTGGATCACCTGAGGTCAGGAGTTCAAGACCAGCCTGGCCAACATGGTGAAACCCCATCTCTACTAAAAAATACAAAATATCAGCAAAGTTCTAAAGGAGGTACAGGAAAGAGTCATGCAGGGCTGGGCGTGGTGGTGAAACCCCATCTCTACTAAAAAATACAAAAATTAGCTGGGCGTGGTGGCATACATCTGTAATCCCAGCTACCCGGGAGACTGAGGCAGGGGAACAGGAGAATTGCTTGAACCTGGGAGGTGGAGGTCGCGGTGAGCCTAGATTACACCACTGCACTCCAGCCTGGGTGACCGAGTGAGACTCCATCTCAAGAAAAAAAAAAAAAAAGAGTCATGCAGACGTCTGGGGAGAGGCTTCTAGGCAGAGGGAACAGCAAGTGCAAAGGCCCCGAGGTGGGGCATGCCTGCTGTCTGCCTGCTGTCTGCCAGTGAGGAACTGTGAGGAAGCTGATGGAGCTGAGGTACAGTGAGAAGGGGTTGGGACAGGAGACAAGGGGAGGGACTCTGGGTTTTCCTGTGTCTGGGACAGGAGCCACTGCAGGATTCTGAGCAGAGGAGACATGAAGTCTGATGTAGGTTTTAATATTACTCTGGCTAGTGCATGGAGAACAGATTTGCAGGAGGAAGGGGAAGTGCAGGGAGAGCTGCCATAACCCAAGAGGGAGGGCGGTGGCTTGGCTTTGTTACGGTGCTCAGCCTGGGGCCCAGAGCTGAGGTTAATATCAGGGCTTTCTTTGGGACTCGGATCAGAGGTCTGTCTGGAGAGAATACTGGGAGTCATGCTTGGCCTGGGCTGGTGTGGGGCCTGGCTAAGCACCAATTTCCTTTATAAGAAGCTGAGCACGTGGCTATAAATAGGAGGCGGACGCAAGCACTTCCAGACCCACACACGCTCCCACCCAGGCATGGTGGGTCTCTGAAAGACCATCAACCCCTCCCGCCTCTCCCAAGTGCCCCCACCACAGCCCAGCCTTCACCTTCTTGGGTCTCAGCCCTGGCCCTGCCTGTCCCTCAGCACCCCTGCACTAACCATCTACCCACCCCCACTCTGACGCCTGTCCCACTCCACCGAGCCCACGCAGCTTGGCAGGACAGCCACTGGGCTCCCCGTGAGCCAAATGGCTTTGTGGAGAATGGGAGACAGCAGATGTTCCTGGGCAGCTTTTCCCTGAGTTTCCTGCCAGAGCAGAGGAACCGCACCGGACGCTTCCACGTCCACTGACCTCAGTCCGCTGCCCAGCATAGCACGGGATAGCCTCGGCCTTTAGCCAGGCTTGGCCCCAGGAAAGGGATAAGGGAGTGGCTGCCCAGGCCTTGGCTCCAGATAGGGCCCCTCCTTGGCCTAGAAAATGCAATGCCGGCTCAAAAACAGTTCTGCCTAATGCCACCAGCACTGGAGAGCAGCATGGTTCTGAATCCACAGACCCACTGGGTTCACTGGGCTAAAGCCGGAAGTGGTTGTCAGAGTTTAGTCTCCTCCCACTTTACTGAGGAAGAGACTGGGGCTCGCAATGGTTGCATGGCAGCTGGAGGGCCAAAGAAGAGGCCTGGTGAGCCCTTCTAGTCCAGCCTTCCTGCGTAGTCAGGGTCACTGAGGCGCAGGCAGGCACAGGCCTGCCCAAGGCCATGCCCCCTGCTCTAGAGTTCTTGCTGCCTCTCCAGGGCACAACTCCTCATGCTGCCATATTTAGGGCCCACTGAGTCTGCCATGGAGCCCCCAAAGTGTTGGTAACAGAAGCTTAAACAGCAGACCACCCTTCCATTGCTACTTCTGGGAAAGAAGAGCCCAGACCATGGTGAGGGAAGGCCGCTGAGAGCCCCAGGCTGGAGGTCCTTAAAATGCCCAGAGGACTCACAGCTACCGCCAGGAGGACGGGCCTGAGGCAGGGCATGAGGCTCCCTGCTCACCCAGACCTTGGCCTAGAGATCACAGGCAGTGGTCCTGAAGGTGCCTTTTCCTTAGAGTCTTAGCACCCACTCCTGCCTCTTCTGATGAGCAAGCCCAGACCCATGACAACCATTTTATAGGTTGGGGGAAATGGGCTCAGAAAGGGCACCTGCAGAGGGCTGTCCTGACTGGTCATGGTATGAACCAAGACTCAGGTGTCCTGACCTCAGGCCCAGCTCTTCCACAAGTGAGGGGGTCAGGAGTGAGACCAGATGGAGATAGGGTTTAGCTGCACAATTACTGATCTCTGTCCTGGCAAGGCTGCCAGTAAAGACCGGGCCCACAGGCCTTGTCACCCCTCTTTGGGCTCTGGAGAGGAGCTGGTGGGCTCAGGAACCCATTGGCCAACTTCTCTCTGGTGGAGCTGCTTGAAACACACAATTTTAGTGCAAGAAAATGGCTCTGCCAAAGAACAAAATGTTTGCTATCACACTGTGTGGCTCAGAAACCGGGGAATCCCATATGCTGTTCCAGGAGTGAGAACTGAAACATCCTCCTTAGCGCCCAACTTGGCGATATCTAGCCTCATTTAACAGGCACATACCCTCTGACCCAAGAATCCCACTTCCAGCAACTGATCCTACCAAGAGCTGCCCAAAGCTCCATCTGTTTCTGATAGCACAAGACAAAAGACAACATACATGTGTACAAGCAGAGAGCTGGTGAGAGAAGGGATGGTGCATTCATGGAGAGGAGCATTATGCAGTCATTAAAAAGAAATTTCAAAACCCCATATGTCCCAATATGGAGCAATTTCTAAGATGTGTGGGAAAAAAAAAAAAAAAGGCAAGACAGAATAGTGTAAATAGTAATGGTACAAAAACGGGGGAGACACACACATACCCAAACATCTGTGCACCCATACAGTTCTTTCTGAAAGAATATACAAGAAGCCAGTAATAGGGGCTGCCTCTGGGAAGGGCACTGGAGTTTGGAAAGCCACAGGTAGGAGGGAGACTTTGGGGTTTTTAAATCTTTACCAAGTGTATGTGTGAATTCATATTTTTAATGACAGCCAGGAACCCTGGGCTCCAGTCCCAGCTCTGGGCTGGAACTCCCTACTGCCCCAAGACACCTCTGAAGCCTGGAAAGGAGGGGGCAGGGAGGTGCATGAGAGCAGTGGGGTGGGGAGAGGGCCCAGGATGAATTATTTACAGGCCCCTGGGACGCTGGAGCTAAGGGGGAAGTCCAGGCTCCTATAACAGGTGTCTGCTGAGGGGCTGGCCACTCCCAGCCACCTAATGAGTAATCCTCTGGGCCAGAGGCCAGTGAATGGGTGAGAGGGAGAATGGGGAGCCCCTTCAGCTCTTCAGGGGTGAGCACAGAGGGGAAGAGCCTTGGGTAACTCACCAAAATGGGAGGCTTTCTCTCTCCAGTTTTCGGATGTGCAGAATGTCCCATCCATGTGGATCAGGCCACCACTAGAGGTAGCAAACTCCTGTCCCCTAAAGCATGCACAGTACCGGCCAATGGCTCCCAATGCCTGACCAGCAGCCTTGGAACTGCCTGGGAAGCTTTTTCAAAGCACAGATTCTGGCCCCAGAAATTCAAATTCAGTGGGGCTAAAATGGGGCTCAAAATTTGGTACTTGAATAGTTTTCCAGGTGACCCTAACATGTGGTTGGTTTAGCTCCACAATTACTCCTCTCTGTCTTGGCAAGGCTGCCAGTGAAGACCTGGCCCACAGACCTTGTCACCCTTCTCTAGGCTCTGGAGAGGGGCTGTGGAGCCCAACAGAGGTACACTCTGTGACTCCAGAGGTGTCTTAGG